CTAAATTTATTTTACGAAACGAATTTATATGTAAACATTTATATCAATTGTGAAACGTAGTTCTACACATTTTATATATATTTTATCACAAACATTTACCACGATTTTATATATTTTATTGTAAAAAACGACCTGCAATGAAGCCACAATGGGGCTCGGTGATAAGACAAACTGATGTCTTCTTCTTGCTCCAGCTATTTGCTTTATTATTTATGTTATTTTATAAATTGTAACTTTCTACGGCAAAATTAAAAATATGAGTATAAATAAATATAAATAAATTAAAAATCATTTGAATAGATATCCCTGTTGCAGGCCTTTGAGATATCACTCAAGTCCCAGTAACTCCTTGGCAAATTAAAGTCTCCACAAAGCAATAAGCCGTTTTATGTACTAGACAGAAGTTTACTTGCTTTAGTAATGGATGCTTTAATTCTCTCTCATGTACAGCCTGTATATGCAGCTCAACAGGATGTGTTCGGAACAAAAGGACATTTCGCAAAAAATTTGTTCATAGGAGTCAAACATTTTTTGCTTACTTCATTTAGTTTTAATGAAGAGTCAACATAAGTAGCTATTCCACCTCCTCTGCTGGATACACGATTTTTTCTGAATAGCTTGTAGTTTTCAATGTTTGTTTTCGATGATTCAAACACCAAGTTTCTGTAACGAAGATTATTTTAAATAACATAGTTATATAAACTTTAAACCGACTAATTAGCCTATTTAAAAAAAATACATCTACCAAAAAGTGGAAATAGTTTTCAGATATCTCACGGCGATCTTTTGTTTAAGTTATTATGTAATTTTGTTTTAGTTATTAAATAAAAAAGTATAGAATATTAATTTTTGATAATTTATTCATTTAACAGCTTACATGTGAACTTGTTATTTAAAAAGATGATGGTTCTTATGAAAGATTTTAGGAGCATAAACTCCTAAAATCTGGTTTTGGTTTCGTAATTTTGTACGTTTTGTTTTAGTGCATTTAATAAGTGACTTATTTAATGCATAAGTCACTTATTTTAACTAATTTTTAAATTTAACGATTTCAATAGTTTATTTTCCTATTCTATTTAATCATTTTATTTAATCAAAATTCTACAGGTACATTTGTTTGTTATTTCTGAATGTATTTGCCAAATACGAAGTATCATAAATTTAGGTTTAAAACATAGCATCTAAAATTGAGAAAATATAGTGAAGATTAAGTTTAAATTTAGTTTTCGAAACATGATATTTAAAAACAGAAAGTATAATAAAGAGCATGTTTCAATTTAGGTTTTAAAAAAGACATTTAAAAAGACATGGTTTTTAAAAAGAGTAAAAATGGTAAAAATTAAATTAGCTGGTTTTCTTAGTCTTGTGTTTAGTGGAAAAAGAAAACCACTTATTTAATAATATATTTCCTGCATTAAAATCCTTGAAAGTCTGCGACCAAATAAAATTAAAAATTTGACCAAGGCTAAAACTTTGATTAAGATTCGGACAAAAATACTTGTCACAATATTTGGACATGAGATGCTTACAAAAAAACTACAATTGTATGGGTTTTCTCTGTCTTTGCTACCATTTTAGCAACCTAATATAATGCAGTGATTGCAGCTTATTTTCTTTTAAAAAATTGGCCATATTGTTACTTTTTTTTTTAAAGAAATATTTTATTTTTCAAAGTGAATTTCATATTTTGTAGCATTCGTTGGATAAAGATTTTGAAGATGAAATTTGTTTTTTTAAAACAATCATTTCCCTGACTAATAAAGTAAATATTTAACCTAGCCTGGCAGATAGCAGAATATTAAGGCAAAATGAATAACAAAAAACTCTATAAAGGACCTTCTTAAATTAATTTTTTTAAATATGAACAATTCATATTTTAAATTTTTGTTTTAATTTTTAGCGCAGTAAAGAATACTATTATACTTTCGTAGTTTTTTGATTTTTAGTTTAAAATAAAAATGACTATATTTTATTAAAACTTTTTAAGGGGCTCTATGAAAAGATTACGACGACGTATCGTCATCCTTATCTTCTTTGAACCCCTGTCTGTTTAATACTTTATCTATAAAGATCATTAAAAATCCATTCCATTTTATATTTTATATATAAAACGGTGCTTGTTGACAAGATGTACAATTTTACTATGGATATGTATGTATTTTTTTGTATATATAAGTTGATTGTATTTATTAAACAGCGAAATAAATGTAAATAATAAAAAAAATGAATAACTCAAAAAAAAAAATGGCGCATAAACAATTTAAGAAAGCACTTAATTCTTGAAATTTCAAAACACGCTATCCTGTGTCCACTGGCGAAGTGGTCAGAGTTCTAACTCACTACTATTAGACTTAGTTACTCAGTGGCTCAGTACTATTAGACTTCGTCACACTCGTAACGAAGTGCGTTTGTGGTTTTATATTTTCCTGTGGTCCCTCCGTTACATTGGTAAGGGGTGGAGGCGTTAACTTTTTGGTCATATGCTCTTCCGTAGTACTTTGTCATAACCATTAGGTGTTCTTGGAGAACCTAAATAACCAAATTAAAAAAGGAAAAGAAAGAAGAGAGTTAGGTTAAGGAACCAATTTTTGCAGTTCTGTTGTTGACGTTATCCATATCTAACTCCATTTGACAAATTTTTAGTTAGTTTTTATATATGTAAAGGTATAAGCAGTTTTTTAAAAATAAGTTAAAAATCGTATTATTTACGACATTACATATCTTTTTATTATTTAACCAGCAGAAAATACAAAAATAAGTAGAAAAATAAAAAATATTTAAACTGAAAAACAATGTTAAAATCTACAAAACCACGTTAATGTCTTTTTTTAAATTTTCTCAACTCTATTTGTTGATATGCCAAAATAAGTTTTTTGTAAAACCTTCAAAGGTCATTAAAGATAAAAATGTACTTATCGATAAAAAACCACAACAAGAAATTTCACAAAAAAAGCTCTTAAGAAAAGAGCATTTAACTCATATGTATTTAGATTATTAGATTTCTTCTTTTATATCAATGGAGAAATGTTAAGTATTTTATTTAAAACTATTAATAACAAGAATATGAGAGTCTTTTTTATTTTATAATAACACCCTTGAAAATAATATTGCACAAATATACAAGAGTTTGCTCTTTTAAGAAAAGTCTTTTGTTCGTAGAGGAGAGTTTTTATTTTTTTGCCGTTTTATATATTTACAATAAAGACATTACATTTATAAAAATTGGCCGGAGCAAGAAGAAGACAATGACTGTCTTATCACCGAGCCCCGTTAACAAAATGTCCGTGTTTATAAATAAATATGAATAAAATTATTGCTATTTATTGCGATTATTGCTTTGAACAAAAGTATTCTTTAACATGAGCATTGAAATTTGATACAAGAGTAATAAAAAATCTTTCTTTGGAACTAAAATGTTTGATGCTCTTTTTTTCTTCTGATTAAATTTTGTTTATTAGTTTTTTAAAGTTTATTTTCTTGGTTATTTATTATACGAATCAACTACATCTGCTAAGTTTTCAATTTATAAATTTTTTTAAAAGCAAAGTAGATAAACTAACAATAAAAGCATGGTATACAAAACAAAAAGACAAATCAGCTTGCAAAATATTTTTCCACAAACAATAAGCGCGTTGCGGTTGCTATGGCGTCGCTAAGATAAAATAATATTGCTTATCTAGATTTTTAATTACACTTCTAAAAATAAACTTTTTTACTTACAAAGATAAAAGATAAGATTTTAAATAAGATGTAAAGTAATATTTTTACATACTAGTCCATAATTAGTATTTAATTATGGTCTACTATAATTAAACTTTTAAAACCAATTGTTATTCTGTATCAAGGATCAAAACTTTATTAAGTACATGTAAAGAGTTTATTTTCGAAACGCGGTATAAGCAATTCATTTGAACGTGCCGCTTAAAATGTTGTTTGATAAGGAAATAATTTGCGCATTAAAGCGCACTCTATCTTTAAGTTCCCCCCCCCCCCCAAACATATTCATTTATTATTATTTTTTATTTGTTTTTTGAGTTAAACTTTTTTATTTAAGGTTGCCACATAAAAACATAAATGCTCAATATCGCGTTTTAAAAGTAAACTCTTCACAAGTTTTTATAATTTTTCTCATATCAGAGTTTATGTAAACGGATCTCCTTAAAAAAGAGATTAAAAGCAAACTTAATCTTATTTAAAAATTAAGGGTGGAATGCAAGAAGCAAACTTCAAGTTCGAGTCAAGTTCGACTTGAACTTTACTTTGTAACCAATAGCGGCAATTTTTTGAGGGGAAAACCCATACTCTGTCGCTATTGGTTGCAATGTAAAGTTCAATTCGAGCTTGACTCAAGTTCGCTTCTTGCATTCCACCCTAAAGTTTACAAGAATATTTTCGTTTTATTTTATATCAACATGTCATCAAAAATTAACACGATTCCAATAACTATGAATAACTGGCCTAGTTGGTTAAGCTGAGAATTACATCAGTTTTAATGGCGCAATGCAATTTATAAAATTTACGCGAGAAATAATAAGAAAAAATAACAGGGCCATTACGTTGTATTTCAAACTATATAAAAAATATTTTTTAATTCATAGATATATTTAACAAAGGAGCATAATAAATTTCATGCTAAGCAACACGAAACAAAAATCCGAAAGCTCTTTTTAAGCAATTCTTTAAACTCGGTATTAATAAATAACCAAATTCACGGAGATAAAAAAAAAACCGTAAAGAGTTTCATCATTTAATATAAATGTTGCAATTTTATATAAAGGAGTATATTTTAAAACTATTTCAAGAAGAACAGCTACAAGAACTTTAAAAACTTCTAACATAAAATCGGAAAGCTGACATCTTTAAAAATAAGCTTACGTTATCAAGGGATAAATCGTTAACTTGGATTTTTATGATATTAGAGAAAAGCTGTAAAAAGAATTTTAAAACATAACTCCTAATTAAAAAATTATAAGGAATGCAAAGAATTTGAAAATAATTGATTATACAAGCTGTAGTACATATCTTTTCGTGTGCATTTATGTAGGAAAATCTACAATTGTTTAAAGTTTATTTGCTTCCGTGTCACCGGCAATCCCATATTTTTGCTGTTAAATCAACACTTCCTGTAACAGCAATTGGCGCTGAGTTATGGAAGTCTAAAATAATTAAAAAATTGAAGAACTTTAAACTATTTATATACGATACTAAAAAATTAAGTTAAATCATAAAATAATTAGTAATTAATTTACTAGTATAATTTATGTAGGAAAATACATAAGTGTACACACACACAAACACAGTGCTTCAAGCACTTTTTTTTTTTGAGCGCGTGTGAATAAAAATGTAAAAATAATCGAAAAACAAGCGAGCTTAAATGAAGTAATGCTTCAGGAACTATAGACTTGGATTAAGAAATGAAAGTTTTTAGTTATAAAATCCCAACCCTTTATAGCTAGTCATTAAATGCTACAATAAACCCTAGTATACACAAAGTCAAACGTTTAGGTCGAAAATTTAAACTACTTATATAACTACTTCAAAAATTTTAATTGGACGATATAAGTTCGTTAAATTTTAATTGAACTAATAAACATACTGATCTATGGGAATGAATTGTTTAGTGTTTATCCTAATGTGAAAATCAATCTTTTATGGTAATAGAACAAATTAGGCCCCTACCCTTTAAAATTGATGCCTACAATTTTTGTATGATTATTTTTGTTAAGCAAGAAAATTTATTAAATTAATTTTTTTAGCAATAATATATTATAATTCATTAAATCAAAGTTTTTAATAAATATAAATAATATGATCATACATGCACTGTTAGATGACAAGATGTGGATAAAGTTATTATTCGTACGATGGTGGTCAAGATCCTTAAAAAGTTTTAAAGAATGTATTTAGTATGGAAAGATATATAATAAATGTTATATAATGTAATGATAATATAATGAATGTTTTTAGTATGGAGAGATTTATCGACTGTCAGTAGTTTAACAATACTGGTGTTAATAAAGTTCTTGTATTAGCTTATTTCGAAAAAAATTACCAAAAATCATGCAAACCTTCAAATTCTTATAGAGAAAATAATTTTTATAGCTCAATAATTTTAAGTCTTACTTAGCAGTAGATCTTGTGCTGCTAAACATAATTGCAGGCAATTTTGTCCTGAATAAACTAACCTGCTAAATAAATAAACTGCTAAATTGTAGACAACTTAGCAGTTTATTCAGGACATAGAGAACAATACTCTTGTTTGTATAGTGACGGCAAAAATCAAAGTCGCTATATAGAAGCATATCTAAAAATGGATCTATAAAATGTTTTTTGCAAATTTAAAAACATGTTATACATCCATGTCTACTTGATGTTGCTGGAGATAAGAATGTACTCAATATGATTATACCACCAGAACTTCATGTGCTGATAAAGATTGTGACAGAGATTTCAAATATGCTGTGTAAGGAACTTGATGTGGGTATCTGGCTAAGTAATCATATAATAGTTTGGCATGAAATGGAAGTGGGTTGGATGACAGAAATGCTAATAAAATTTGGAAGCTTCATCTTCTTAATTTAACATGATAACTTGATATAATATGAAATTATTACAAAATGTAAACTTTAACATTAACAAAGCAAATATTAGTTAGTAATTGCTTTGGGATTATTCTTCATGAAGATTATAAAAATACCATTGTAAAGTATGTTAAGAAAGTTTAAATCATAAGAATTTTTAGGAAAAGAATTATTGAATATGAAGGTGAACTAAAAATGAAATAAAATTATTTTTTATAAACATTTTATATAATAGGCATACTATCTATTTTTTATTTAGTTTTTACATTGATTTATGAAACTGAAATTTATGTAAAGAATAATTTTAACCACAATCTTTCAATAGAATGGAAAAGGTTATAAAATCAAAATTATGATGCTATTAGTAGTGTTTACTGATCAATGTTCTAAATCTGTTCATCACAATCTGTTTAAAACTTTAAGCAGGTTCTTGACTTCTGAATCTAAATTGAATCATGGAGAGCTTTTAAGAAGAACAGTATTAGAATACTCAAGGATTAGTGTTTAAATGACATTCATATAAACCAATAATATAAAATCTCAAAAAATGTGTAAGCTTGATCCATTAGTTTATATGAATTTTCTTATTCTAATAAATTCTTGTCACATCACATTATGTTTTGTATATTATGTTTTATGTATTACAATATAATATAATTTAGGGGATGGTTATATAATTTAAAATTATTCAGGGATGTCGATAAATTTGCCCCAATTCCCTAAAAAGTTAACTCAAGATTGCTTAGAAAGTTTTTTCAAAACTATTTGAAGCAAAGGAGGGTGAAATGACAGACTGACTCTCAGGCAAATTAAAGATTAAAATTAAAATAAATTAAAATATTAAAGCCATATTCTCTCAAAAATATATTTTTAATATAAACACTTTTAACCCCCTATTTCATTTATACAAAAAAAACCTAAAACATTTTTATTACTTATCAAGTTACCCCCTACAATTGCATATATATATATATATATATATATATATATATATATATATATATATATATATATATATATATATATATATATATATATATATATATATATATATATATATATATATATATATATATGATAAATATGGCCCTAACACACACAGAGACGTACACAGACAGAGTATTGGCCATTAATAACAACTTTTATATCAATTTGCTTGATAATAAATTATTGATTGTTCTTTTCAAATAAAAAAAGTGTAAATTAATTACCATCTTATTTTCTTTCAAATATATATATATATTCATATAAGTATCAGTCGATGCCCTAATTATTACTGTAAAAAACGGCAAGAAGTGACTTAAAATAAAACATAAATCATTCATTAAATTTTTGGCTTCACTCTGTAAAAAAGAACTTACTTAACAAAATAACATAAATAACAAAAGTAATTATATTAAAATGACGAGAGAGAAAAAATATATATATATATATATCAGAAAATTTTTCGTCCCCAGTGGCCTTGCAGTCAATAAAGCCATCTATGATTAAACTATCGCAGAATTGAAGACTTTTGGGCTATTTTGAAAGGCAAAGTGACTAATGTAACTGGTAACTGTAACTGTAACTGTTACAGTTACCAGTTACATTAGTCACTTTGCCTTTAACTTCTACTCTTTTCAAATAAAAAAAGTGTAAATTAATTACCATCTTATTTTCTTTCAAATATATATATATATTCATATAAGTATCAGTCGATGCCCTAATTATTACTGTAAAAAACGGCAAGAAGTGACTTAAAATAAAACATAAATCATTCATTAAATTTTTGGCTTCACTCTGTAAAAAAGAACTTACTTAACAAAATAACATAAATAACAAAAGTAATTATATTAAAATGACGAGAGAGAAAAAATATATATATATATATATCAGAAAATTTTTCGTCCCCAGTGGCCTTGCAGTCAATAAAGCCATCTATGATTAAACTATCGCAGAATTGAAGACTTTTGGGCTATTTTGAAAGGCAAAGTGACTAATGTAACTGGTAACTGTAACTTCTACTCTTTTCAAATAAAAAAAGTGTAAATTAATTACCATCTTATTTTCTTTCAAATATATATATATATTCATATAAGTATCAGTCGATGCCCTAATTATTACTGTAAAAAACGGCAAGAAGTGACTTAAAATAAAACATAAATCATTCATTAAATTTTTGGCTTCACTCTGTAAAAAAGAACTTACTTAACAAAATAACATAAATAACAAAAGTAATTATATTAAAATGACGAGAGAGAAAAAATATATATATATATATATCAGAAAATTTTTCGTCCCCAATGGCCTTGCAGTCAATAAAGCCATCTATGATTAAACTATCGCAGAATTGAAGACTTTTGGGCTATTTTGAAAGGCAAAGTGACTAATGTAACTGGTAACTGTAACTGTAACTGGCAAAAGACTGCAACTAGAAACCAGAATAAAACTTTGTTTGAAAAAAGTTGACATTAAGCTTGTATTTTCACTTTTTGAGTCAACTAGTCTTAGAGTTGATCAAATCCAAAGAAACAGACTGGTTGAAGACTAACTTAATTAAAATAAATAATTAAAACTTAATCAATAAACTAAAAACTCCATTTAATGACAAGGTAGTGGCAGTATAGGCATCTGGGCTTGCATAAACTATGAAGGTGTCAGTTGCTTCAAGCTATTTAATGGAAGGCTTGATTGTCAAAGATAATTAGACAAAGTGAATAATTACTTAATGCCTTCTAGTGACATTTTCTGAAAAGATATGCGAATTATCTTCAAATAAGATAAGACTCCATGTCATACTGCTAAGATTTGCAAGCAATCAGTTAAAAAAAACAACATTAAAATCATGTCTTGGCCAGCTAATTGTCTAGATCTCAATTTTATTGAGAATTCGTGGTCTTGGTTAGAATACAATCTTAGTAAAATTGAAATAAAAGATCTGGACCAACTGAAAAACAAAATTATTGAATATTGATTATACTGAATATTGAATATACTTATTTTAGTCAGAATTTAGTGAATTCCATGCCAAAACAGATCAATAAGTGCTTAAAAGCTAAAAGTTTTTCAGCAAAATATTATTTTAATTTTTAATTTTTTTTTTGTGTTTTGTAAATTTTTTTAATTAGGGCTTGCTAATTATGTTGTTATGGTTTGTTAATTATAGCTACCTTTTTTTTTGATACATATGAACATTTTCTTCATTTCAATATTTTAACTTTTTTTTAATTAATTAATAATTTTATAATAAAGTAAAACTGTGATAATTTGACTTATTTCGATAAAAAAATTGGAAAACTCTTTCAAATTTTACAATATTTAATTTCAAACTAGTATCCATACAAAAATAACACAATGGATTGTTATTAATGACCAATAATGTATATAACAAAACAAAAAGTAATTTAACAAGTCAAAGATTAAACAGTTTACCAAAAGTTGTGCAGAAATGGTCATGAGCCACTAAAGTTTTAACGCAACGTTGATTTTTGATATCCCATGTACGAAGAGTTTTATCGTCTGAGCAACTCATCAAAAACTTTCCGCCCGGATGAAACATTATCTCGCGCACCCAGTTATCATGACCTTCCTGAGGTACAAAACAACAACTATTTTTTTTGAATTTAGATTTATAAAAAAGCATTAAAAACTTTTCAAAAGTAAAACTAAAAAGATCTTACCAGAGTGAAAAGACATACACCAGAATTTCCATCCCAGACTTTTATCTTTTTATCACGCGAACCTGATGCCAAAAATGAACCAGAGTGAAAATTATTTTTCTAAATAAAAAAACTTTTTAAATGCAAATAAACCTTTATATATCTGATGAATATATAGTTATCTTTTATTTTACAACTGATATATAAAACATCTATTATTAAACTAAAAATAAATAATAGATTATTTTAGTATGTTAACACTTGCAAAAAAAGTTTACATCGTTTCCAGTTGTTTCGTTGATATATTGAGCACTTTTTTGTGGCGCCCAAGCAACTGTTTCAACAACATGATCATGGTCTGATAATTCGAGCTTACACTCTCCAGTTGCTATTATCCAAATGCGTACAGTCTAAAAATATATATACGTATATATGATATATAAAACTTATGTTAAAATGTCTTATAAGCAAAAAATAAATAAATTTAAAACAGTTAAATTTGATTTTGTAAAGATTACTACAACATAAATTTGAACCAATCAAATTTTTAAGTCATCGTCTTAGTGCGAGCCATACTTTAAAAAAATATTCAAGCCAACTATTTCAAGTTTTTAAATCAACTATATTTTCTCTATATTGATAATATTGTTATTATTCTTTTTATCATTGTAAGTAATTTAAAAAAAACAAGATTAAAATAACAAGAGTAACAAATTTTAAAAACTTTTTTCAAATTAAAGAAAACCTGCCAAACCACTTAAAAATTACAATTAACTTCCCCCTCCCCCCTTTTAAAAGACTATTTAATTACCTGGTCATTAGAGCAACTGGCGATGAGAGTTCCTAAAATAACAACCATCATTAACTTTATCAATAGTTAATATTAAAATAATTAGATCAAAACGTCTGAATATTATTTTTATATTATGTTGAATAAAAAGTATAATTACCATCTTGACTAACTTTTACACAGCGAACCCATTCCCGATGACCTGTAAAAGTTTTTACACAATACCTAAAAAAAAACTTTTACTTAAATTAAATTTTTACAAGGTAGAAAAAAAAAAGTAATTAAATTGAGAAATCATAAAATATTTCTATAAACATAATATTCAAACCCTGTTGCAACCTCCCACATTTTAATTGTTTTATCACGAGAACCTGACACTATATAATCGCCTGATGGCATAAATGAGACTGATGAAATATTATGATCATGACCTATAAAAAAAAAAAAAAGAAATATGATTATACATTATGTATATATATATATATATATATATATATATATATATATATATATATATATATATATATATATATATATATATATATATATATATATATATATGAATAAAATAGATATTTATTTTTTCATGGTTTTTAACAACTAATAACATTTAAACTAGTTAATTTTGTTTTTCCTTTTTTTTTAAAGATAGTTTGCTATAGATACTTTTAGAAAATCAAAAAATTCAAAATCTGACCTTTTAGTATTTTGCATAATGGTTGGCTAAAGTTGATAATAAAAATTAAAAAAAAGTCATTGCACTGTGACATTTAAAAAAAATTTAAGACAACTCGTAGCTTGTGTGGTTTTCTAACTTAATTTATATGAGAAAATTAAGGTTCCACATAAGTAGAAAAATTTGACATTTTTTAGATACACAAATATCTTTGAAATGATTTTTTATTTGGTGGGTTATATTCATAGCAGGAGTATTTTTATATTTCATAAATGTTTAATTATAATTATTCACTTTTTTTATTCTGAGCAATCTTCTTAAATATTCATATTTAAATCGCTTCTCTTCTTTATATGATATAGTAGACAGAAAACAAGAACAATTTAAGTTTGAATAAATTTTATACTTTGATCTATTTTAATTCCATATATTAATATTAAATACAGTTTTAAAAAGGTTTAAACGATTATTTACATATATTCTTTCCTTTTGTTTTTATTTTCATTTTTAAATTATTAAAGGGATCCCTGAGTGCTCCTAACATATGATCTCATATGAAAGAGCATAAAAAAAAAATATGTAAGTTTTTTTTCTTTTTCACTAAATTGTAATAATAAATGCATGCTAACAAAAAGCAATTGCCGAAATCACTGAAAAATAACTCCATTTTGATTTTATTTTTTTACCATTGAAACTCGATTGTTAGTCGTTAAAAATCACGTTAGTACGTCACAACAACTTTTAAATATCTACTTCGATTTTCAAGTTAAAAAAAGTCATGATTAAGTAGTTTAGTTTTAATCAAGTTTTTTTAATTAGTTTTGAAAAAACAGTATGATAGAATTCGGTTGAAAGACGTCGTTAAAAAAAAGTTATTAACTAATAGTTTTAAATAGTTTAGAACTCATAAAAAAAGTCTTACAAGGCTCGTATTAAGCGTACCACGATCGCGATTGCTTTTCACACTTCCGTGATTAGTTTTTTCTTTAAAAAAAACTTTTTGCGATTTTTTTTTTTTGGTTGTTTAATTACTTTTTTTCTAGCTTAGCATTTTTTTTAGCAATTCTTAAAAGTAATATTTTTATTATAAAGAACCTCACACAAAATTTATTATTCTGAATAGATAGATGAATAGATGATTTGCTCTTTCGTGCGGAGATTTTCTTTCAATGTAAAACATTTTTGAATTTAAATTACTTTACACCTCTGCGTGGAAAATTTTTAAAAGGTCGTTAAAGCAAAAAGTTGAAAAAGGAAAAGACGTTAATACAAATTTTTTCTTCATTCTAACAAAACAGCCTGGTTTTTATCTTTGTTTATCAAAATGTTTAAAATAAGGCTTAAAAACGTTAGAGCAAAAAAATTACTGACTTTTATTTGCATTTTTATACTGATTGAAAAAAAAACTAATAAAAAGGAATTAATTATTATTATTAATTCTACTAATCGCTTATAATTAATACTTAACTTAACGCTGCCGCTGCTGCTCACCATTCGTGCACCTTTACACGGACTTTTTTACCATACTTGGCCTTTGAGTTTTATTATAAATTGCTTTACTTCTGAACTCGCCTAATGAGGCTCTTTCAAATCTTAATAATCTGTCAGTATCTGCTTAATCAGTAATGAGATCAAAAACTTTGTTTCATCAGCTTAATTAGTGATAAGATCAACAATTTTTATTTGATAACTTCTGTAGTAAAGGATGAACGATATGTTATTATTGAATTAGTAAAGTAACTTTTAAAGTCAGGTGGTTTATTTAAATCATGCATTTTAGTCTTTTGTCAATTGTATTTAAATTTATTAATTTATAAAATTAATCTGTAATTTTTAAATTAAAAGACGACTCAAGAAGACGTTGCTCATTTCAAAGGTCAAGAGGTCAAACTCTTGATAAAGTTAGTGTTTAAAACACTTGCATCTCATACGGTCAACTCAATGTTACATGTTAAAGAACAAGATCGTTTAATACCTTATTTAAAAGAAGTTATAAAAATCCGTATAAAAAACCAGATTGTTTGATAGTTTGTTTTTGAAAGTTGTTAAACATTTATTACGAGGTATTTCAAAAAACAAAAATAAGGTTGTATTTGTAAAGTTTCAAATTTATATATTTTTCTTAGTTTATATATTTATCTATATATGTGTGTTATTTATATTGTGTTTTATTGTGTATATATGTGTTAAGGTTATATGGGTTTATATTTTGTAAGTGTGTAAATATATGAAATGTTTCAATGTTTGTGGTGTGTTATATGTAATATGTTTATAGTTTGTAAGTGATAATTATGTTGTTTGCATGGTTTCAAATTGTTGTGACTGGGCTTAGTTTACAGCAAGATTGTTGACCTTGCTAGCCAAGTGGTGTACTTTGCTATAATGTGACCTGGCTTTGTTGAGAGCAAAAATATTGTCCTCGCCAGCAGAGTGGTGTATTGTCATAATAAAACACATAAATTAATTCTGTTTGTAATTAGTGTATTTCTAAAATGTGTTGAAAAAATATTGTTTAAAAAATGTGTTTTAATGTTGTTATTATCTGTTCTTAACAATGTATGCTTTTGACAATAAATAAATTTTGTTAAAAAGCAGGCTTTACTAACAGCTCCTCCTCATTAAAATTTTTAAGAGTTTCGATTTTCTTCATTAAATATGTTTAACTCAAATTTTTTTTATATATATAAAAGTAAGTATACAGCGTGTTGAAGCATAAGTTTTAATAACTTTTGTTAAATTTTTAGGATTTTTTGTATAGAGAATGTTTTCTTTATATTATTATTTTAATGTTTTGTATGTACATCAATATATATATATATATATATATATATATATATATATATATATATATATATATATATATATATATATATATATATATATATATATGTGTGTATATATATATATAGACACACACACACAATAAAATATATAGAATTAAAATGTCTATACATATATTATATGTATAGACATTTTAATTTTTTTGCCTTAAATTATTGTCCCTTTTTCTTTAGAATATTAAATATCTAAAAAAAAAATTAAAATAGTAAAAGAAGTTTCAATATTTCCAAGTTTCTTCACTTGAAGCAAATATATGATTGTTTATAGAGGTTCTTTTAGTAGTTTTGTATTTATTTATTGCAAATCTTGCGTTAAATGCCTTTCAAAGTAATGAAAGGGTTTTGTTGATGGATGATTACATTTTATCCTTCCATGCTAACAGTACTTGCTGAGTTGACAGGCCTTAAATTTTTTTAATTTGCTTTATTTATGAGTTCTTATATGTAAAAAATTTGTTTTTTAAATTACATTTGTTTTTTGTTTGTTTTTTTTGATTAAATACTTATAATATTTTGTCAATAATTAATAACAACTACCATAAATATATAAACAATACTTAGTTGAAAATATTACATTAATTTATAACTTTAGTTTAAGTTTTTAATAAAACTATGTTATCTTAACACAATGCTATATATGGTAGAATATAATAGATTATAGTATTATGCTCTGTATTATTTGCTTACACTTTATTTTAGATAAGTTTAAAAAAGAAACTTCAACTTTTATTATATTAGGCATCATTTTTACACACTCCTTTGATGCCTAATTATGTCTAATAATTTAAGAAATGAAATTATTAGACTTCGTCAAAATGAAAGAAGGCAGGCTAGGCCAGCTGAGATAAACCGCCATCGAAATGAAAGAGATGAGCCCAGGCGAGCTGAGATAAATCGTCGTCGAATTGAAAGAGATGAGCCCAGGCGAGCTGAGATAAATCGTCGTCGAATTGAAAGAGATGAGCCCCGGCGAGCTGAGATAAATCGTCGTCGAATGGAAAGAGATGAGCCCCGGCGAGCTGAGATAAATCGTCGTCGAATTGAAAGAGATGAGCCCCGGCGTGCTGAAATAAATTGTAATCAAAATGAAAGAAATCAGGCTAGGCGAGAACTTAATAGGTATAATATGCATCGCATAGCAAGAAGGTTTTATTGCATTTTTAATTTTCTTTTATTTATCTCTAGCTGCTGCTTCTTCTGTTACAAGTAAGTTGTTCTATTCACTTATACTTGACTTAATTTATGGATTAATTGGTTTTATTGCATTTTTAATTTTCTTTTATTTATCTCTAGCTGCTGCTTCTTCTGTTACAAGTAAGTTGTTCTATTCACTTATACTTGACTTAATTTATGGATTAATTGGTTTTATTGCATTTTTAATTTTCTTTTATTTATCTCTAGCTGCTGCTTCTTCTGTTACAAGTAAGTTGTTCTATTCACTTATACTTGACTTAATTTATGGATTAATTGGTTTTATTGCATTTTTAACTTTCTTTTATTTATCTCTAGCTGCTGCTTCTTCTGTTACAAGTAAGTTGTTATATTCACCTTTACTTGACTTATTACATTGATTGATTGCTTTTATTGTACCTTTTGTTTTTTAATATAGCTACAAATGTGCTTTCCAGTTTAATTAGTTAATGTAATAAGTCAAGTATTAGTGAGTAAAATAAATAAGTTGTTGTGCTCACTTGTACTTAATTTATTACATTATTTGCTTTTATTGTTTTTTTACAGTAGATTTTTTGTAAGTATTACCTTGGTAGATAGTTGTATTTATATATAATTTTTTTTTCAGGCTCGAAGTCATGGGAAGAATTCAGAAAGTATCGCTCCCAGCATCCAGGCCCTCTATCTATGAGGGCCTTCCATCGCTGGTGTTTGTATGGGGACGACCATCCCTCCTTTAGATGGA